AATAATAATACATGTATTTTATATAGTGCCTTAAGAGGTACTCAAAGGCACTTTACATAGTAACAATTTGATCCATTGTTAAAGCTAGTGTAGGTAATGTATTTTCAGAAGCATTTTTTTACAGCGGTGTCCAGTAGAGAGAGCGGTGGAGGAACGCGTTTGAACATCCCAAAAGTTAAAATGGAATACCTAACCAAGAACCTAACAAGAAATGTTGGCGCTAGCCCTAATTTTTGGCTGGACACTTTCAATATCTAAGTTTCTATTGCTAGTTTGTCCAACATTACATACTTTAGCTTTAATATAAAAATATCAATTACAGCAGTTTTAAACATCTCATACTGCAATTTCTTAACCAACAAAACCATCACCTTTCTTGTTTATGCCACATTGAGAATTGCTTTTTTATTGACTATTTCCCAGACACTCTTCACCACTGGAACAAACCAACAGCTTCTTCAGGAGCAGTGTTTGATGCCAGCTGCCAATGCTACCGCGGTCCAGACTTTGGCTGGAGCACGTTCATTTCTCACAAGCATCTGCACAGGAGGAGCTTCCTCAAGAACAATGACCTTATCATTACTGCCGACTTCAGTGGTGAGGATCCGAAATAGCAGCACTTCTACCTGGCTGTTCTAGACTATTCCTACATCAGGCTTTTTGCTGATACACATAGTCGCCAAACAACAATATTCTAAATTCTTTAAAAACTTTTTGACAAATTGTACCAGCAAGAACCTATTCAATTCATAAAATTAACTTCATTTTCCCTTTTCTGCCCTGCTACTGTGAATAATGTCTCACTGTTCTCTTACATAATAAAATCTTGCCATGTTAGCATAAATTTAACATTTTAATTAACCTGTTGATTCATTAGATTTGACCCACCTGATCAAGACTGAGGTACCTGTCAAACCGGCCACACCAAGTGATGACATCACTGATGAGAAGCCAGTCAGTGCGGTGGAAATGAGACAGGAGGCACCAAAACACAGAGAAGCACGTGCTGCCAACCCCTGTCATCCCAACGCCTGTTATAATGGAGGCGTGTGTGTGGAGAGTGAAGGGAAGGCCTCATGCAGGTGTGTCTTTGACCTAGTGTTTGAGGGGTGGATCTACAGTTCCATTGTGTGTGTATTTTCATTTCTAAATACCTCTTTTGAATTGTGGGATTTTTTGAGAACTGAGGGTATTTTGGCTCAGTCCTCACTTCCAGAAGATATGAATTTACATTCAGTGTCATTTAGGCACAGGCTACTGCTCGAGTAAGCACTTGCCTCAGTAAGTACACCAGGCTAAGTATTTAAAGAGTCAAGTGTGAAGATTGATACCACTCTCATGTCTGTGTAAGTATAGAGCTAGCTTAGGTTAGCATAAAGACTAGAATCAAGGGGGAACAGCTAGCCTGGCTCTCCCCAGTTGACAGTTCAAAAACACGTTGCATTACATGCCAACTTGTTGTCCCTGTGAAGTTGCTGCACAGAAGGGCCAAGTGGACATATAAACTGTTGTGCTAGTTACAGCATGTATCCCTCCAAAAACCACAATTACCATAAAGAAATGTGTTAATGAGTGAGCTTCATAGGTGCTGTTTCCCCCGCTTTCCGTGTTTATACTATGCTATGCTAAGCTAAATGCAGAGACATGAGAGTGGTATTAATTTTTTCATCCAACCTTATGTGTCAAACTATTCCTTTTGTAAGTCTCACCAGGCAAGCTTTTGTGTGAACCAACCTAGGTTATCCCCAACAAAAACACAGCACAGTCTTCACTGGTTTCTCTGCTGCTGTAACAGAGTAAGGTTTACTATCTTTTCTCTAAAACAAAACCCTGTTTATTTTAATTTAATAGTGGCGTTTGGTATGTACAAATCTCTGCCCACTCCTTAAACAACCTAGCTGTGTAGTTGCAGCTTGCAACATCCTCACTTCACCCTCCTGCCCTATCTAGAGCTAGTGTTTGATTTGTCTGTTCAGGGCTACTGTAGAATGGTGTTTCCTTTGTAGATATAAACAGCTCGTTCTAATGATAACATAATTATGAATATTATATTCCACTTCTGACAATAGATAGAATAATTTACACACATGCATACACATGTGTATTCATGGTCACTACAGCTCAAAGCAATTATTTATGCTTCAGGAAATATTTTTTCATAATAACGACAATTTTGTTGCTTTCTTTTCAGGTGTGCATCAAGCCAGACCACCTACTACACTGGTAAAAGGTGTGAGGAACTAAACATAAACAGAAGCATTCTGGGAGCTCTGGTTGGTGGCACAGCGGGGACCGTAGTTCTAACGCTGGCCATTTTCACTGTCATCAGGAGAGCTCAGTGAACACATTTCAGAGGAATAATGGGTCCTTCATTCAGCAGTGAAATACACAGCAAAATAGTTCCCATACCAGGCAGAAGTATTTGTATTAAGCTCATTTCGCACCAAGTGCACCAACTGCACCTAGTGCATCCTGTGCCTATCTCTATGTATTTCTGATGTGTCCTCACATGAAAAATTTTTTACAGTTTTCTCCTTAGACTGAGCCTAGAAATAAGACTTCTCAAAGCTGTACCCCCCAAGGTACAAATTAATGCAGGTTTCACTTTTAAAATAATTACTTTCATCATGAAGTATTAAATTGAAAACTATACTCAAGCCTGGACTGGCAGGAAAATAAAACTATAGCTAAAACCAAAGTAAGCCCAAACATCAACAAATTATATTCTCCCAAATTAACATTTCGCAGGTGGATAGCATCAATTGATTCATGTGACCCAAGTGTGGTTTATTTGTATGTTAAATTGAATCATATTTAGCTTGCTAAATGAATTCTGTTAAAATGAAAAATGTATAGTTTGGATTGAAATCATGCGCCGTGTAAAGAACAATAAAAAACATTTGATGCCTTGTTTTTATTTCATTACATATTATTCCATATACATATAATTTTGATACATATAGTGGTTTGACACAGTATACAGGTTATGGTTCATGTCACTTTCCTTTTAAACAAAACTATCAAACCAATCCAAACATGTCTATTTTGTTCTATATACAGTCAGCACTCACAATCTGGGTTTACAGAATACACAACATCCAATTTAGTGGTACAAACAGAGGAGAAAATGTATACATTAACCATAGTTACATATTCACATACATACTCCCTGCCAGGAGGATTTCATTTAATGTGAAATCTCTGTTGGCCTTAGCTGAGGATGACAACAACCTACTAACTCACAACTACTAATGATAAAGGTCAGTTCTGTCAAATTCATAAATATGATGAAAACCTCAGTGTTCTATTTACTAGGCTTTACTTAACATTTAGCCTGGTTTTAGGACACCAGTGTACACATTTGTAACCATCTAGGAACTATAATCTAACACAAAGCAAACTCTAAGATGTGTTCTCTCATAGGCTACAAGTGGAGTGCCATAAATGTGAGTTGCTGTTTCCGTCTTCATAATCTGAAAGGTAGAAATGACAGATGAAGTATTTAGAACATTTATAGACTGAAAAAATACTTTCTGCTTACATGTGGTCTGAATCTTGCGTCATGAAATAAAATAAAATAATAATAAATAAATAAAAGGATAATATAACCAAGGATTTTTAGTCATACAAGCAGCATGGCATAGCTCTAGTGACAGCAATGTCGATCATTCACTTGGGTCCAGGGAGAAATATATCTAACTATTGGATGAATGGCCATAAATACTGGTACAGACATTCATGGTTCAAAGAAGTACCCTAATTACTTTTGTGACCTCACTTCTCTTCTAGCATCATCACAAGGTCTGCAGTTGTGGTTTTGAGAGAATTTTAAGAATAAGACTCACCTCAGTCCTCATTTGTCTTTAGTGTACGCAGTTGAAGTCAAATTTTTCATGCTCTCACTTTTTCCTCTTGATTTTGCCTGAGGGTAGAAGCAGACAAGGTTACAATGCATGTTTCTGTCATTTTTTTGTGTAATTCCCGGATTTACCTTCTTGGTAAACTTACCATTATGAGCTTTAACAGTTCCTCTCGAACCTGTTAATAACACAAACATTGCTTTATAAATTGGGCAGATGGTAAATACTAATAATTATTGAACATTTTTGGCCCCTAGTGCATTTTTTCCTGGGCCCCCAACAAAATGTTTTCCATGACACTAGTAGAAATTCCAACACTAAGGCATTAATGCAGTGTTTTAGTCTTAGTGTTTAAATTCTCTGTTAGTATTTCCCTGCTTATGACAACTGGACATTTGAGAGATTTTTAACAAACCAATGAACATATTGACACTGATACAGCATGATGGATTTCTTACCATTGTTAAAATGACAAACCTACCTTCTGCTCTGCAACACAGCCTGTTATCAAAATGAGAAGGCCCTGCAAGAGAGGAAATGAAGTGTAACAGGTTTCAAACTGTTTTCATGCAGATATTTTGAATCCCATTTATATTTGAGCTGCATTAGCTGTTTGTGACAAAATGACAACATTTTGCACCAATACAGGAAGTAATATGATGTTTATACACAGAAATAAAATCTACTGTAAGTGTGTGGAGGTCGGGTTTCGTGTGTTGGTGTCTAAATATGTACCTTCAACAATGGTGGCTCAAGTTGACAGTTTCTTAAAATATTTATTTAACCATGATCTGATTTCCCTTACTTGAAGTGTCAGTTGTCTAACCATACCATTCACTTATGGTAATGGTAAATGGACCTG